AAAACGCGGCATTCAGTATCGATCTTTCTTTTTTTGCCCTTAGCGGACATTTCGAGGACTAGCCGGCCAGCATCACTCGTAGCTGTTACGGCATGCGCGTTTACGTAAATAAATTTAAAAAACAGCAGCTTCCTTTTCAAAATAAAAGCAACACAGTTAGAAAAGTATTTACGCCATGCAAGCAATACAGCTGTGTTGCTTTTATTTTGAAAAGGTTGCTGTTTTTTTTCATTATGTTATAATTTATGATCAACCTCACACGGGCCGGCCAAGGCCGGCCAACGGGCCGGATGTGGCCCGCGGGCCGTAAAATGCCCACCCCTGATCTAGAGGCCTGGCATATGTACTACAGCGTCTCCAGCGCTTTCGAACGGCAATGCCGTGGTTGTCTCCTCCTGATTGGTGGAGTTGGCCCAATAGCCGTAGCGCCACCGTCCTGACGTCAGGACAGTGTTCAAATCTGGATCAGTTTTTATCAGATCCGTTGCAGCCCCTTTTTTAGAGATTTGGGTATGGAGGAAAATAGAGAGGGTTGTGTTTTCTGACACTTGGTGAGGTCCCTGGAACACCGGGGACACATATTCATGTATAAAAGACGTACAAAAGTGCATTTTGCATGATAGGTCCCCTTTAATATGTAATTCTGTACACTTGAGGGAAATGTGTTAATCAATAATACAAATATTTATCATATTTATGTAACAGTTTTACATTAAGCTTGTATCTGTCAAGAAAACCTAAATTAATTGCAAATAAAATATGTATCCTTATCTAGTTTATTGCTGGCTAGCAGCTGCAACGGTACTTGTGCAGTACAATCAACTTGCAGAGACTGCAAGAGTTATAATAGGTCATGCAAGTACACTATTAACCTTTGAATTGTAGTGGGGTAGATGAACAAAGTAGCGAATTATTTAAATAGTTAAGTAAGGTAAAAGTCGCTCAATGTTGTACTTAAAAGGTGGGGTAGGTAATTTTGGAGAAACCAGCTCGAGATCGCTAGAATTTGAAAATACACAGCCGGAAAAAATCTGCCACTTCCTTACAGAGCCCCTCCTCCAACACACACGAATGCGCACATGACCAATGAGGGCACGAGATAAGTTTGTGCACAGATGGAAGGCTGACAGGCAGGTAGGCCATCCAGTTATTTTAGCCGGGCCGGCTAAAATGATTGGTCGTGCTTTTTACAGTACTACGGCTTCCACAGATTAATTTTGCATATTTAGAAAGTATGCAAAAAACGTGGCCACAGATAACACACAAGTACCACTACAACACAAGCACTGCAGCAAAGGAGTTAAATGTTTAATTAAAGGCTGAAGTGAGCATTTATAACGGGCTGTTAGCATCCTTTGGTAACTAAACAGGAGTAGTACTGCTGCAGTTAGCTGCTATAAACAACATGAAAAGCTTGGCACTTTTCACAGCTTAATAATTATGTTAACAATTTACCCACTAATTTAGCGCTAACGTTAGCCCACTGCTAACGTTAGCCCACAAGTAAGACTGGAAACGCTGCTAAGAAGCTGTATCCTTTAATGTGTACATTCATATCAGTTATCACGCCAGTAAACAGTCTATGAACAAACTGAAACTGTGTGTTATTATAGTTCAAAAAGAGTTCATTTTACACTTTAAAGTTCAGCTGTTTAGGGAGACATGGACTTACCTAGCAGGACTCAGAAGAGAAGGAATCTCCCGGGCTTGGTGTGACGCATCTCCTATTCATTGATGCGTTCAAGGACACTCAGAAATGCTAAACTTATATATGGAGAGCGCTGGAAAAGAGACTAAATGAGAGTATTTTTTTTATTTATGTTATATATTTGTTTCATAATTTAATTTGTTTAACTCCACAGTGTACAAATGTGAGTGGTCAGGATCCATTATCAAAAACACCCTCATGCATAAAGACAGACGTGCAGAAACAGCTTTGAACTGCAGTTAAAGCAGCCTGCAATGGTATTTGCAATAACCTACAGTACAGTGAACATACTAGAACCAAAACCAGGGATTGACATTAAATATTTAGAAATTCACATATTTTCTTGTCAAAGACTTGTATTTACATAACATAGAGTGGGAAGCTTCCCCATTATGTAGGAATAATATAAATAATTCAAATAAATGTGGCAAAGGCTCAAATTTGTTGAACATCACATTTGTAACAGGTTTGTTAATTGACCAAAAAATATGAACAGTTGGAAGATTGAAAATGGGATTATTATTAGGATTATTTGTAGGTCATTGAAAAGTAGAATCATTTAGAAAGATGTGAACATTGAAGTTTCTATTTTAGAAAAGCTGACACTGTAGTGCATCGCTGGTTTTAAAAGTGATTTATAGGAGTCATGTTTAAAGATGTGCAATACTTAAAACGTTTATAAAGATCCTCTGAGTGTGTGTTATTAGTTAGCTGATAAAATGTTAGGGATAAATACCTTGACATATTGACTACAAGAGCTTGAATCAAACAAGCAACCTTGTATTTGAAAGATTAAGGCGGGAACGTTTGCGTTTATGCACAGTATGCGCTTTCAAAAAAGTCTTCCGTTCACATGCATTCGTTTCATTTAACGTGTCTTTTCAAACGAGACCGCTGGAAACGCTGTAGTACATATGCCAGGACTGTAAGTGGCGCTGTAACTGCCGCCAAAATACACCAAAAGCAGCGAAGAAGACCCCGGAGCCCCCCATAACCTCTGTTTATGCCCCGCGGTGGATTTAGCAACATGTAGTAGTTAATGTAATTCTCCATGTCCACTTGTTGCTGATGGTTGTGGTAGAGGAGCTGTAGATGTTGTACTAATATCTGTAGCATGGTCAGTAGCAGTAGCACTAGCAGTAGCTACTGACAGTAGCTACTGGCCATGCTACAGCAGTGAGCAGGAGAGGTGGGGCTATCGTTATTTTGTGTGTGGCGATTGCTGGTATTCAGCGGGATATAGTCATTTCCTCAGCATGTAAATATATGGATAAATGCAACGGGGAAGTTAACTGAAAGAAACCGAATCTGTGGATATTGCATCGACCGACCAAGAAGCACGTCTCCGTGGAGAGGACGCGCTCAGAAAGAGAGATATTCTCTACAAACACCGGGTGAGCAATGAACAATAATGGCCTGGATTAGGCAGTAAAGACCATTTTGGTGTATCGCAGAGCGGACTGTTTAATTTTGTTTGTGTTGTTTGGCTGGAAAATTGTCAATATAATGGATCAATGCATGAAATCTGACTCTGTTTATTTTGTTTAAGGAGTATATTGGGCGTTAACAATTCTGGTTTGCCTTTTATAATATTATTTCATTCAAGAACCCCTTGTGCGTTTAATTAACACAGCTATTTTTGATAGTTGATCATTACAGATGCCTACTGGCCATGCTACAGCAGTGAGCAGCAGAGGTCGGGAGAGGTGGGGCTATCATTATTTTTTCAGGAAATATTCGTATAGAGGCGATTACACGGACTCGTTTGACCCCCCAGAGAGTTTCGTTTGCAAATCTATCCACCTTGGGACCCGTTATCGTTTGTGGGGTCCGTTTCTATCGGCCTCGTGTAAATAATAGGGCTATACGCACGCGAAACTATGCAGATACAAGCCGTTTTGTCCTCGTGTAAACGGCGCCTAACTCACATAGCAAAAGTCGCACCTGGTATATAAGTGGTGTGGCTGAGTACTTTAAAGGGTTCTTGAATAGAGGGGACTTGAATGTGAAATAAGAACAAGAAAATAAAAGTCTAAATGCATGAAAAAGCAGCAGAATATTTTAACTGAAAACTTTAGAACTAAAAGCTTACGTCACCAATAATGTCTAAAATATGTGGAACATGTTGAGGTCAGTATGAAGTCTCCATCAGATGGAAAAGAATAGGCTGAGACAGTCTCTTAAACTCCAGTGACCACGTCATTAGTCTGCTGCTCTAATTATGTCAATTGGAGTTATGACATCATCGTGTTCCATGACACAGGTGTTTATATTTGAGCTAACGACGTGTCCAGAGATCAAAGGTTTCCATGGTGATCAGTGAGAGGAGAGCATTTTCATTGTTCTGAATGAGAGATAAACCTCTTACATGTGAACGTTTTGTTGAAGAACCGTAACAGATATCGGTGAAATTTCAAAGCGTGAAGCATGTCAAGGAACTTGAGCATCTGAATTGTACTTTTTGTGTACTTTCGGGTTAATAATGTGGCGTTTTTGGCAGATTAACTAAAGGTGTGCGGCTGCTGTGGTGGGGAAAGGTGAGGCTGAACTTACAATGGGGTTTAATGGAGACATGTTGAAAGTTTTTGTCACTTCATGCCCTCAAGAGTCATTTTGTTTAATTATTTTGCTTAATTTTTTTTTATCTTTCAAGCTACGAGATGTTTTCCTACGTTTGTCATGAAAAATTATGTCTCAGGAATGTAGGGTTTGGGAATTATGGCAGGTTTAAAAGAAAATATGAAGGCAAAATTAAATCTGTCCTCCACTCTAGCTGTGACATCACGCACTCTAAAATCTGAAGAAGGCCTCTTTACCAAGGTCTGAACAATGTTTAATATCTCTAAAAGTAAGAATCAGATTTAAAAGTTGTGTTACACGAATAAAGTCGAAAAGATGTGTAACATTTTAAAGTTGGAATGAGGTTTCTGAGTGAAAGTATGAAGGAGCAGTTAGCAGTTGAAGAAGGAGCAGTTAGCAGTTGAAGTTGCATGAAGATTGTTGAAGTCTGAAGAGTTTCTCCATTGACTTCCATGTTAAAAATGTGATGAATTATGGGATGTATCTCTGGAATTATGAAAGTTATGAATGATAAAAATAATAGCCATCGATTCCCGACCGAGCTGAACGTTTTGATGTTTGAACGGAGTTTCTGCGATGTTCAATATGGGAGAAGAAGAGGCGCAAAATAACCCGGTGGAATAATAAAGAATTGCGTGCGTAGCATAACAGATAGTTGGAATGCTGTGTCAGCATTCCCACTAAATAATTAAAAGCACACACATACAGTAGACATGTTGTAAATAATACATTTATTAAAACAGCCACTTAAAAGTGCTTACTCAAAAAGTTAGACCAATGGGAGTGATCCATATACAGTGTACACAGAAGGCTTTACAGTATAAACAAATACAACCAGTCTCACCAGACATTGATACTGAAATATTTTCAGTTATTTTGAATATTTTCCATTGGGCTTGTCTGGAGCAGCAGATGTTTACATTTGAATAGTGGCTCTTCATTTCTACCAAGAGGAAACATTTAAACCAGAACCTCAGTTTTATAATATATCATTTAAGAATATCATATTTCTTTAAGAATAGAAACTATTTTGTTGCAATTTACGTTCTTGTAAAACATTTCTAATGCTCCTCATTCCTTTAGTTAAAAAGATACTTTTTATTCACTAAGGATTTTATTTTCCCTTTAACAAGAATCACAAGTTGATTACATTTTGATGCATCTATCGCCATTTCCATGTACAGTAAAAAGATAGGCATGATATTTTCCTTCAAATATATGAACTTATCTAATACAAAAAAAATCAGTTGATTAGACACTCATTGGCTGGAAAAAATGACAGCAGTAAAAAGGTGGGCGTAGTGCGGCCTACTTTATGGAAATAACTTTCTGCATTGATAATATGGTAAATGTGGAGTTGTCTATCAAATTTTAGAATGTAGGAAAATAGTTTTATACACTGTACAGAGGTACATCAACTCATACTGTACAAAACATTCAAGACAAATAAGTTCATACAACCAAAAACGCATACTCACACTTACATTCCCCAATCATAACACAAGATTTAATCATTTATTACAGTGCATTAAGTATCAGTTAGTTCAGTTATTCCGTTGCCACTTTTTTTTCAAGTTAAATTGCTTTTAGTAGTATTACTAAACATATTAACCCCAATAAACAAGAAAAATATATTCTCATCAAAAAGCACAATATTTTCAGGTGCAACAAAACGATGTTAGAAACTATTGGGTACATAAAATATGATACATTCCTTTAAAATAATTTGCCAAATATATAACATGGTTCCAGTACCTATCCTTTTGCAGGTATTTTGTTAATATAAAAAAGGGGAAAAACAGTACCGTGATTCAGTGATTAACATCCTTATCAGACGTTAAACTACACTGAAAATTATTATAATCTTCTTATCAGGTCAATGTGTCCGTTGTTGAATTATGATTTTCAGAAGAAATAGAAATTAGCTTTTTTCTTAAATCATGTTTACTTTTATAATTCATTCTTGGTTCAAGTAAGAGCAACACATTTCTAGACAATTCTCAAAATAAGTTGATTTCTATTGGAATCAGATTAAGCTATTTCTATAACCCTATAGGGCTACATTATAGACAGAAATGCCCTGGTAAGATGAAGGATTCTGCAGTGTTGGAGCATCCAGTAAATCAAGTATTTTCCAAAAAGTAACAATGAGTGTAGAAAATGTCTCTGTGGATGACTTGTTGTGCTGCACATTTGTACATGTTGGGTTTGTAACTTGCTCGGTGTTGTGTTGTCTACAGACCTGTGGTTACAGGTGTTTAATTTCCTTTGAAATGTGTGGGCGGTTTTGTGCAGAAGATGTTTGGATGTCACAGTGTGAGCAGCTGGTTGTTTTCTTCCTGTGTCAACTTTATTTATCTCAGTTTCACATCAACCTCCTGTAACCACTTCCTATCTCTCTTCCCTCACACATTACTAATTCGAACACTAAGTGGGCTGCTATCTCGGATGCGCCCTCTCTCTCTCCCCTTCTCTTCCCCCCTGTAGTTCTCTTCCAGTCGCATCTTCTCCTGGTCTGTCCCTGCCTCCTTGCTGCCGTGGCGACGGGTCGCCTGTGAGGGCGGGCTCGGTGGCAAGGCCTGCTTAAAGAGAGGTGGGGTTTTGGTTTTGGCAACTTTGTCAAAAAAGGCGAAATCGGCCACGTATTTCCCTGAGGGAGACAGGGAGACGACTGGGGGAAACTCGTAGCCCCAGAGGATCTCATCTGGAAGGTAGGATGTTCGAACCTGGCAGGTAGCGGAGGTCGGCTCAACGGTGGCGCTCAAGATCACCAGCAGCTCAAAGTCAGCCAGGTCAGGGTCTGTCCAGCCACCACCTGGAGGACAGAGGACACCGGAGGGTTAACAACAAACAAAAAAACCTTATAAATCAAGCCATGTTCTAAAATGAATTGTACTGCATTTTTGTTTCTTGCCACTTGGGGGAAGCATAACAAGATGAAAACACAACATTGCGCACTGAATTATGAAAGTAGTTATTGCTAACATGTAAGCAAACAGTTGCTCTAGAGCAGTGGTCCCCAAACTAAGGCCCGCAGGCCGGATACGGCCCGCCTCCACATTTGGCCCGGCCCCCTGAACAATACCAGAGACGCATTATGATTTTTTTTTCAGTCTGGCCACGCGAATCCTAGACTAGCCCCTGTCAAATAGAACGGAATAATGGCGAAAAGGTTAGGTAAGAGAAAAATTGATTCAGAATGCAGGGTATTTAACCTGCAGTGGTCAAACGATTATTTTTTTGTTCAATGGAAAGAAAAGGCTGTTTGTCTCATCTGTCAAGAGGCGGTGGCGGTATTCAAAGAATACAATCTGCGCCGACACTATGAATCCCGTCACAAAGACAAGTATGATAACTTGCAAGGCCAAATGTGAGCAGACAAACTCTCAAAGCTAAAAAGTGGACTGTTAGCTCAGCAGAATACATTTGTACGCCAAGCTCAGCTGAACCAGTCATCCGTTCGGGCCAGCTTTCGGGTTGCTCAACTGATAGCAAGCAGCGGTAAACCTTTCACTGATGGAGAGTTTGTCAAGAAATGTTTGAATGCTGTCGCGGAAGAGGTGTGTCCCGAGAAGAAAGATGTCTTTAATGCCGTGAGTCTGTCGGCGAGTACAATCACCAGACGCATTGAAGAAATCGGGGGTAATGTATATGCCCAGCTGCAGCAGAAGACGAAATAATTTGACTTTTTTTCATTAGCACTGGATGAGAGCACGGACGTGCAAGACACAGCGCAGCTGCTCATTTTTATTTGCGGAGTTAGCGCAAACTTTGAGATGTGCGAGGAGCTGGCAGCCCTCCAAAGTCTCAAAGGGACTACAACGGGGGAGGATATTTTCGGCAAAGTATGCCAAACCATGGAAGAGTTGGACCTAGACTGGTCAAAGCTTGCCAGCATCACGACTGACGGGGCTCCTAGTATGGTGGGCGCGTCTCGGGGTCTAATAGGACGCATGAACCGGGAGATGGAAGAACGGGGTCTCACCGCCCCGCTACAAATCCACTGCCTAATTCACCAGCAAGCACTGTGCTGCAAAGTGTTGAAGTGGGATTCTGTCATGAAGGTTGTGGTGTCATGCATAAACTTCATCAGAGCAAAGGGACTTAAACACAGGCAGTTCCAACAATTCCTGTCTGAACTGGAGTCTGCGCACGGCGATGTGCTGTACTACACAGAGGTCCGATGGTTGAGCCGGGGCAGAGTTTTGAGGCGTTTTTACGAGCTGCTACCCGAAATTAACGCATTTCTTCATTCAAAAGACAAAACGGTCCCAGAGCTGATCGACCCAGAATGGAAATGGCACCTCGCATTTTTAACAGACGTAACAGAAATGCTGAACAGCCTTAACTTGCAGCTACAAGGCCAGGGGAAACTCATTTGCGACATGTATTCTCACATAAAAGCATTTGAGGTGAAACTTGCGCTGCTTTTGGAACAAGTGAAAAAGCACAACTTCATCCATCTCCCTGCTACCCAAAACCTCTCTGCAGAGAACCCAGCGGTCCCGTTCCCAGCTGAAAAGTGTGTGGAAGCACTGGAAATGCTGAAGGCGGAGTTCGGTGTGCGATTCCGGCAACTACGTGTTAATGCAAAAGAAATCCGTCTTTTTCAGAACCGCTTTCTTGCCGACATCGATGAAGCCCAGCCTTCTTATCAGTTTGAGTTGGCCGAGTTACAGAACTGTGATGTTCTGAAAGACGCATTCAAGCCCAACAGTCTCATTGACTTCTATGCCGCCCTCCCAAACGACACGTACCCTAACATAAAAAAACACGCAATGAAGATGTTTACACTTTTTGGCAGCACGTATATCTGCGAGCAAACCTTTTCACACATGAAACACCTGAAAACTCAGATGAGATCAAGATTGACAGATGAACATCTGCATCAGTGTTTGAGACTGGCTGTGACTAGAATGGAACCTGACATTCAACTTCTCACCAGCCAGATGCAGGCCCACAGTTCACACTGATGAACATACATAGGTAAGATCACTTTTCTGACTTTTCGGAGTATAAACAAATGTAATCATAATAAAATCTACTGGGATAAAATCCATCTCCACAACCATACTGGTAGTGAAATGTATTGTGCTGTGTAGGTGCTGTATCACTTAGTTCGGTTTCTCAGCCTGCTTGCTTTGTGGTTTTCACAGGGAAGTTGATGAGAGAGAGCTGCAAACAGCGGTGTCTACAAGCCTACTGGAACCTACAAAAGGATTATAAGGAAGGAACACAAGAACTTTGAGAGACTGCTCATATGAGTCATTTGAGTAAGAGATTCTGCTCTGACAACTAAGCTAAACTTTTACCTGTTAAGATTGTGCACGGCACAACAGAAAGTTAATGTTCAGTGGACTTTTTTTCTGTGAAGAACCCAGAGAGGGTTATTTGGTTATTATTTATTTCATTAATAGTGTTATTATTTATTTCCTGACTTTTTTTCTGTGAAGAGGTTATTAATATTTGGTTATGTGTGGCTTTTTGGAAAACAATAAATGTTTACGTTTAGGCACCCCTGCGATCGTCACACTTTTTCTGTTACAAACTGACCCCGGCCCCCATCAGAGAAGGGAAAAGTTATGTGGCCCTCACAGGAAAAAGTTTGGGGACCCCTGCTCTAGAGTCTTGTCCGACCAAGTAACAAATGTGGGTCCATCATTCACTCTCCTTTTGTGCACCCGCATGGCCTGACATTTTCAAACATAAAAACGTCTCATTTACTCACTGATTCAAAAAACACAGGGCTTCAACACATCACACACAAACACTTTTCTTTTCACAGTACTAATTTCTGAAATGTGAACACACATTCAAAGAAAAAAGCCGACACATGTTGGATATATTCCCATCATTAATGTTTAATATATCTTTAAGAGACATTCACAACACAACGCAGAATGTGCTTGTCATTCATCGACACACAAACCAAATAACACAAAGGACACATTTGAAGACATGTGCACTCAACCAAACACACACCTGCATCAACAGGCCTCACTCAGAATGCAGACTCTGTCATCTGTCTAAACAGTCCTTACCCTAACCCGGACCCAGTACCGCTCCCACCAGGGCAAAAACACAACGTTTCGCAACTGCTTGTACTCACTATGGTAAACTTGGTTGGGGGATTCTCTTTATTGGCCTATTTTGGGTGGAGCTAAGGGTTCCATCTGTATTTATGTAGTGATCTCCAAAGCAACATGGCTAGGAATGCTATTGCTGCGTACGTTGCCATGAAATCAGACTTAGAGCAGATTTAGAGCAATAAGAATTGTAAACATAAAACTGTATGTTTGAATTATACATTAGAAGCTTTCTGTATTTAGAGGTTGTTCCATATTACAGTGAGACACTATGAAATAAGCCTCTGTGATGTAAATTATGCTAAAAAGCGAACTGTTAACATGCTACCTTTTAAAGTAAGATAAGGAACGTCATAGCTGCTAAACATCAGCATGTTGGCATTCCCAGCGTTAGCATTTAGCAATATAAGAACCTTTCATCAACCAAAGTCAAGTTTTGTTTATTTCTCAGCTCGACAGGAAATACAAAAATATTTGATTGAGTCATCGAGGTAGTTGGCACACACTTACATTTTCTATCTGTATGGCCCAGTGTATATAAACTACATTGTTAAGAGGAATGTAGTGATATTCTAGCTCAGTGGTTTGGACAGCATTGAAGCCTCTCCTGTAGAACATCTCCACAGTGTCCTGCCCTTCTTATTCAGGGTCTCAAAGTCACATAATGCCAACACAATTCACACACTGCTGCACTAGAAGAGAGTTTCTATCAGAGCAGTTCCAAACCCCTAAATTAAGTACATGTGGATAACATAAAGCAAGCTCTGCAGGGACCTCTTAAGCTCTGTTCAAAGACCCATGAAGTACAGAAGTGAGCTCAGTCATGTGTACTATCATGAATGTATGTCCAACAACTAGAGACTTTTAAAAATGTTCATTACACACAGCAATCCAAGCATCCATCCATGATCTAGCCTATACATGGAGCGCATCGCAGGTCACACTGGGACAGAGGTTATGTCTTTGGGTGTAAATGCTAACTCACACATTTCTTACATTCTCACACACTGCAACACATCTACAATCTGGTACTTGAAAGTGGTACTAGGATTAAAGTCTGTGTTATTTTGTATACATACATTACAGCCTATTTGGTTCTTAAAGTCAAAGGCAGCTTAATATGGTCCCAATATTATACGGTACAAACATTAGTTTTTAGTTAGTTGCGCTTTTAAGGCATTACTTCCTGGATGTATGCTATAAGGAAACAATCCAGATGAAGCAACATTGGAGACTTTCCATCAACAACTGTTACAGTAGGCCCTTAGAAGAGGGATTACTGTAGTGCTATAAACAGTATAATGTGTGCAGTAATATAATCCCTTTAATATGGCTGCATTAAAATAACTGCTGAAGGGGAGGAAATGATGACTGAAAGAAAACGGGCAGAGATGAAAGTTGAAGTTAAAGGGAAACAGCGGTAAGGGATAGTAATTGGTAAATTACAATAATATCAGAAAGTGTGTCAAGTTAGGCCATGGAAAGCCGTCTACAGTAAATGAGTAGTCTGAGTGTAAATAGCTCCACGATCAGAGTCCGCCAATACTGATACCTTTCTGGTTTCCAGGGCTGAGAGCTCTTTGCTGCTGTAAGTGGATCTGTGCAGGTTTTCGTGTCAGCACCCCGGACTGTACAGCATTGTGCTCTAATGAGGGGTGTCTCTGCCGATCTCTCTCACACACATTCCAGCCAAAGAAACCCTCTCCTCTAGTGCCAAACCGGCCCAACTCTAGACGGATGCAGCCAAGCATGCAGCACATGACCGTAAATACCAATACACCTACATACATATACATGTCGATTGTACGTACAGTTATTCGCGTTGGTTTCAAATTAGGATATCGACCAAGTCCTAGGACATATTACAACTTTTTACACCAGATGATTGTTGGAAGTGAATTGTTTAATGTAATTTCCACATAAGGCATGAAATTATACAGAACACATGAACCAAATGCAACATAGTAAGTGCCCATACAAAGAGTTATTGAGCCCTATGAAACATACAGTAAACTACAGTTATTCTAGTTTGCTTTGTTGGCTTAAAATGTTGACATAAGAGCCATGACCTACCTTTGGCTGCCCAGGCCCTTAGGGGGCTGTTGTCGTCGATGATGTGGTAGTAAGTCAGGGGGATGATGAGGAAGGGGCTGTCACTGGACGTGTCCACCTGGAAAGGTACGTTCCGCTGATCCAGCCGCACCGTCTCGCCCTCCTTAGTCAGCGACGTCTGAAGAAGCTTTCCCGTCACCTGGGAGCCAAGATGGAGTCAGTAAATGTAGCCAAGAGTTTGCAGAAGGCCTCCTGTAACCAAAAGGCCCTAGGTTTAATACCTGCAATGGCCAACTGCATGGCATGGCATTACCTGACATGTCCATTACTGATCGTCTGACTACATGTCAAACTAGTCATAAAGCTTCTGTCAAGCAAGCGCTATACATACAAGAGATAATGGGTCTCATAATAATATTTTCCTTCCTTCTTCCTTCACTGGGCTTTTAATTGTGATTGTTTGTCAGTGTCACAGGGTTCATTTCCATCTTGGCATGAGGTGAAATCAAAGGTAAAGCTCATACACAGAGATGAACAACAGCCAGAGCATCATATGCATAAAAAAAACTGTTTGTATTTAGGGTTTCAGTCATGATACTTAAAAGCAACGTGCATACCTGGCATCCTAACAAAAGGCTTTTGCGCATGTTGGCCACTCTGATCATGAGGCAGGGCTGACCCTCGTGATTTGCCACAACGGCGTGTTGACTAAACTTCACCGTCTCACCTCTTTTCTTGGGGCGAGCAACCTACAAAATAAGGGAAAAAGAGAAGAAAAAAAGGCAATTCCTGTTACTACAAACGCTTCACATACAACCTTCAGCAATCATCTACTTATCTAATAAGTTGTTTAACTACAGGGGAAGAGTAAACTGTTTAGATAACCTTGCTTTTAAAAGATAGGAGGTAATAATCAACATGGTGATGTTCTGTATGCATTTCTGTGCTGATACAAAGTGGGTAAAGGAAGGACAATCATATCAGAGTAATATTAGAGGGGGTTTGAAGAATGAGCAATAAACTGCATCATCCCAAGACAACTATCCAATAAATATAACGGAAGAGCCTATGAGATGTTTTTGGTGAAATTAACATCAGAAACTAAATTTGAATACCTTGGCAAGGAAAGTGCCGGTGATGAAGATCTCCATCACCATGGTAATGACCAGCTGACAGATGAGCAGGATAATGGCGCCAGGACACTCCTCGGTGATGCACCGGAAACCGTAGCCAATTGTGGTCTGAGACTCGAGAGAGAAGAGGAAGGCTCCTGTAAGGGTCTTCACCTCCATTACACATGGAGTATGGTTGGAGGGGGGGTCAAACTCTGGAGGGTGGGAGGAAGAACACAAGATATTGGGTTTAGGGGTGTAAACAAATGATCAAGGAATGTTTTGTTCCCTCTACCAGTGTTTTGCCGGATCTTTCTCATGCTCTTTCTTCAACTGTTTGACTCTGTTTCTTTCTTCAATATTAACTCAATTATAAAAACAGTACTTGCACTTCATAGGTCTTTTTTACATGAAGCAAGAGTACACGGATAAAGCCTTTCTTTATTGAAGATGATGTGGTCAAAAGGACAACCAGTGAGATGTTTATAAAACTGCAATGTATCTTTCGGCAGCTGATAATGTTGCTGATCATTGCATACAACTCATATCCTGCATGAGGTACTAATGTGTGGGTCAGGTGAACACCAAAGTACGATTGGTCTTCAGGGAAGGACAAGAGCGTTAGTACCACATTTCAAGACAGTTCACCATAAATGTCCATTACACTGTGGCACAAGAGGAAAAACCATGGGTATCTCCAAAGTCATTAAACTTCATTTCCTATCCTTTTCTTCTCTCCTCTGACTCTAACTGTCCTTCCTCCTTGCTCCTTACCAAGTAGATCTCCATGTATCAATGCCACCAGGTACCAAAGCACTCCAAACACGAACCAGGTCCCAGCAAAGGTGGCAGAGAAGAGGAAGAACTTGTAGCGCCATTGCATGTCCAGAAAAGTCGTCCAGAGATCACGAAGGTACAGCGCCCCACGTCCGCTTACATGCTCGATTCGTACATTGCTTCGCCCGTCTTTTGAGAGGACGCGGCGCCTTCTTCGCAGAGCATTGGTCCCTCCAGCATCTGTTGCTCCTCCACCTGCACCAGCACCTCCGGGCCCCGTCGGGGAGCCCAGCAGGGGCTTAGTGATGTCAGTCTGTGTCTGGGAGTGGCATATTTTCTGAGGGGAGGAGCCTTCTGAGGAGGGAGGAGTTGCTGAGGTCATGGCTGGCGCTACAGGGAGTTGGACACAGAAAAAGGAGACAACAGGAGGTTAGGAGAATAAGAAGCTTGTGGGTAAAGGGGCTATATATTGAAAGTCAAAGAGGGGTAAGATTGTGAGAAAAAAAGGCATTACTCGTATGAGCAGTGAAATTAAGTGAACAGCAGGTGAGTCCAAATGAAAAGGTGCAGGAAGTGTGAAAAAGAAGAAAAGATGGAAAATGTGATAACCACTTAAATGAGAAAAATGACTAAATGAAATGGGGATTATAAGAACATCAACTGGACAGTGTTCTGGCTATCCAAGGTGGTCCTTTTAAGCCCCCCACATCCTTTCATTAGAGGCAGCTGGCCCTGTCAAAATAAAAGCCCCCATTCAGCATGAAGGCACAGCTGCTCTTTCACATTAAAAGCTCGATAGTGCAGGCTCATTCACGTGTCGGTTGCGGAAGACTGCTACTGAATTGAGATGAGGAGAAACCAGTGACTGTTATCCAACATTAAAAGGATTAAGAAAAATAAGTCTTTAGATTTGAATCAAGGACAGTTAGCTCTTCAGCTGGACCACCCTCTCCTATTTTGCTGAAAGCTGCTTTTTATACTCTGCCTTTAGTGGAGACCTACATTATGCAGAACGTGCAGCAGATGTGACAGGCAGATGTGACAGGCAGATGTGCAATATTTTGGAGACAGATCTAGCTTTTGAGAGGTTGTCAATGCTACAGTACAATGATACATACTTTATTAGTCTGCGCAGAGCAATGACCTCAACTGCATCCAGCATCTTAATGATCAACTGGATTTGAGTGAAAAAAAGGGATGTGTTCATTTACATTTGGGCACACATTTGTTTGTTCATAATGGCTAATGTAGGCTAGTTGTATTCCCGTAAAACTACGCCATCACTCAATATTCAAGCTAAGTGCTGGTTGTCAATTGAATGCCTGTCCAACACTGGTCGAGTAATGTGATAGGATGGATCGGTATATAATTGTTGGCAGTATATCAGAAAGAGAAGTCCCTCGTCCCACCCCTGGGTGCCATGGACACTTATTGTCACTGTCTGGGTTTTTCCCTGTACAAACTTAACAGTTTTACTCTCATCTGGGTTGCAGTTAATCCACATCCTTCTTTCCTTCTCTCTTGCTCACACTCACTGTTTACTAAATGGCCCTTTTGTCTCAAACTGCCTCTGCTTTCCGGAGCAAATACAACGAACCAAAAACAAAACAACACAAACAAAAGCCTAAGAAACACGACAATCTGATACGCTCTGTCCTTTCCTGTCCTTTCTGACCCTTCTCTCTCCTCTCTCCATGCTGGAGCTCACACTGAGTGAATGAATAGAGATCTGTGTTGATGTCTGTGCACTGAATACTAAAATGTGGAGGGGGAGAAAAGGGAGGGAGGCGGGGTCAAGAAGAGGACCTTGTGATTGGCCGTGTCCATCTCCAGCTGAACTCTGAACCCTGCAGAGCGCCTGCCTACACATACAGTAAACACACACTTGTGTATTGAACGTATAGACTTCTTAAGCACTTACAACACAATACAATACCATTGACTGTCCAAAGGAATGCTTGGTTTGGCAGGTCAAGACTGTACACACAGTAATACAGTAACTTGCGATACTAATATATCTGTAAAGTAGTATTCAACATTTTTTGGCAGCACAACAACGTGTAAACGGAATTATGTTATATCATTGTATTATATTATTATTGTATTATTATAACTCATACAGTTGTTTTGCAAACTTCTTCTTGCAAGTTTCTTCTTGCTAGGTCCAATTTTGACTCCCCTTTTACCTCTGTTTTGGTCTCCACCACCTAGCAGCTAAATGCCCAACTATGTTTTGTACAATTATGGCCCTTATCCTTTATCCTTTACAGTCACCAGTTTTATCAAATTTACAGAGCAAGTTATATCAATATTAGTGATGCTAAAACAATATTTAGGGATTGTATCAGTTGTGCTGACAGTAATACTGATGGATTTCCTCTCTTGTAAAATGATTTGTTCTACATTCAAGGTCAGGATCTCTTCCTCTCCATCCGGCTATCCATCCCTCTCCTTCCCTCTGTCCTGTGCGCACAAGAATCCTTTGTTTTCCAGGAGATGAAAGGGACAAAAGCCACCATTGAAAAATACGACTGTGTGAGCGAGTGAGTGAAAGAGAGAGCAAGTTAGACGGGGAGAGGAGAGCGGTACGGAGGGTTAAAGTGTGTGCGTTTGAGTGTGTGTGTGTTTGCAACTGTGTTTGATCGTGTGTGAGTATGCAGTGCTTGACATTGTGAGGGGGCAGAGATGGGGGGGAAGAAGAGAGAGAATAATTGGTTTTGAGGGGAGGATTGAGAGAGAATTGAGCATCGGGTGACAAAGGGGGTGAAAGAGGAAGAGGGAGGGAAATGGATGGTGAAGGAGCAAGAGGAAGGGGTATACTGTATAGAGTGAAGGTGGAGGAAACAGATCTGTGACAAAAGAGGGTCATTGGTATTCCAGAGGAGAGAGTAATCCCTTCCACTCGGTGCCCCTGTCCAGTGTCCACAGCCATAAAGAACCCCTAGCAGCCAGTACACTGCATTGAAAAGACTCAATACAACACAAACTGAATGGCAGTGACCACTGTCCACACCACAGCCGCCTCTCAACACAGGCCATGCCAAGAAGGCATCTACTCAGCCAACACAAGACGTTGAAACCACAAACCTACTGGAGCCAAACTGAGCGCTGCACATCGAAATACAAATGAGCTGCGGTTGTGTCAATGTGTCTTTATATAACCATTGAATTATTTCAGACAATGTCATTAAGTAATAGCCTCTTCTTTAGCGCCGCTTTGTGTTGACCTTCTTTTAATTTGTTCTAAATCCTAGTCCGTCTCTTTAGTTCCACGCGTTATTGTCAATACTATAAAAGCCACGTAATACATTTGCATGTGCTAGGACAGGTGACGTAATATAAACAATAAAGTTCCCATAGGGAGGAGAGTTGGGGTCATCGTTGATTTACTTGTTCCGTAACATCAACACTTCCTTAGTAACTTAAAGCAAACCTTGTTCTTAAAATGTACTTATTTGTTTTGTGACTTCCGTACTTAAGTAACGCCACTTCCATAGTTATTCTAACCTAAACAAAGATCTTAAGATTGACTTTGTTTTGTAACTTCTTTACTTACATAAAGTAGCATCACTACAGCCCGAACCGCAATTAATTTCCTAAACCTAACCAAGTTGTTTTGATATGTACACAGGTTCTGCACTGCAGCACACTTACCAGGAGGATACATTGCTATAGTATCCATAGTTGCTGCTCTGATTGGTTCACACAGCCTCCTAAAAGGATTTCTCAAAGCCGACAGCCATCACGTTCACCACAAATAGGCTTATCTGATTAAAACAGACGATATTTTAAATAATCCTAAATTATTTGAGCACCAGAGTTTACACTGGACAGCCTTTAATTTAAGCTAAAACCTAAAAATCACTACATTTGGAAATGCAAAGCTTTAAACACAACCAACAATGTCAATACAGTTAGTCAATAGGTATTTGACTAACAGCTACAATCAGTGTATTTGTATCGTGGCCACTATATTCCATGTTAACAGATAGTTACCTTCTTGTTCAATTAAACCACAGGAAGTAAATGGGACCAGTCGCCATGGTGATCTGACGTTTGTCTTAATGTGTCCAGCAGTCTTTTTCAAACTTCCAACTAAATCTTAACATCACTCGCCTCCACTTCCTCGGCCCACAATAAGTAACCGAGGAGTTACGACATTGACCCAGATCAAACAATGGAGAGCAGCTGCCGGCCAATGGACTGTAATTTAGGAACAACTTTTACCATCTTCTTCAGTCTGTAGTAGCCAAACGTCTGTCTCTCTGCTGTAAATCTGACCGGTCTACTACTGATGAGGTGCTGCTGAAGATTTCTCAATGAAAAGATGCGAGTTGTTTTGACTGAAGGTTTCCGAGCCAAGAGTTTGTTGCCTTGGAGTCAAAACACAATCACACCTGTTCCATCAACTATGTTTTGTACACGCTGCTAATATGTTCTGCTACTTTGAGTACTGTTATACACAACAATACATACAACTAGTGTTCAGCTTCGTGTCGTGTTAATGCTGCAGAAGCTTACATGTTTTTCCTGTTTGCATCTTAATATTTACACTTAACTGCTACAGTATGAAGCATCTACATTCATCATTGGTAGGCATGCAAGACAGGTGCAGGATGTTGAGACTTAAGTTAGGTAAACTTTTCAGTGAACACTAAAGTATCTTTGACTAAAAACATTGTTGAAACCATTTCACGATTGACTTTTGTAAGATTTTCTGCTATTAATGCTCCTAATGTAATGACATAGACCCAAATAATTATATGCAACAGTCATACATAGTGGTACAGATTGTAAGTGGAACTTCCTCTATTGTTACTACTAATAGCCCTCCACACAGTAAACAAAACACAGTAGAAGCAGCAATGTTGCACCTGTTAATTCCCCACTCTGCAACCCTTATACGAGAACTATTAATGACATTTGTACTCAAGAAAGATATCAAAGCTAAAAAAAAAGCGTGTTCTGGGATGTTGAAGGATTAACACAGTGCAGCATTTTAGGAAAATAACATATTTAAGTTAAGTCCACCAAACAAACTGTTGCTGCACTGTGCTCTGTAGAGATTTGTATTGGATGACATTGGCCTGCAAACAAGTCAAATAAAGAAGAAGAAAAAGCAGAAGATATAGAGAAGAAATACTGATTTTAAAATGTTTTGTCTCTTACCTTTCTGTTGACTTGTAACAGGAGTTCACTTGGACGACAGCTTCAGAAAATGAAGATGTATTTAATTTCACTGTCCGACAGACATGTGAAAAAGACGGACAGCATACAATTCAATCTGTCTGGAGGAAGATTGAAAGAAGCCGAGAAAGTTCACGGTTTTGAACGACGCACACTTGTTGACAGCTCGAGCATGTTTTACATCACCTCTCACTT